TTCACGAAGTGACGAAGAGTGTTTTCAACTTCATGGGACAAAAAAAGTGAGCCCTCTGTGTTTTGCTGTTTTCACGAGCTGAACAGAACTTTTATTGATCTTTATTAATGAATTACAGCTTAATTAAGGGAGACTTCTAATAAACAATTAGCAAAAAACAAAGCATACGTTACTTGACAATGCAAGAATTTCCTAAATCCATAACTAAAAACTAGTCGAAAAGGTGTTTTGAAAAAAATGATTACTTTCGAAGGCGATTATCTCGGAATGGCCTTTTTGCATGATATTGAGGTTTTTGTCAATTCGTGAAAACACCGTCGAAATGTCTAAACAATTAATTTTTATTAGGTTATTTCCTAATTCCATTTCCTTATTTGTATTTCATTTCCCCATCCACAGTGTAAAAAAGCTATGAAGGCGCATAGTTTACCGCGTGATGCGACTGGGAAGCGACTGCATCACTACGCCCGCCTACTATTAGATAGCTAGGACTATAATATATTTAATTGCACTAAGCACAGAAATTGATTTTAGCGATTGTGTTAAATTCTATATAATATGACATTTTTTGGTGGCTTTTTGAAGGAGCATTACATTTGAGGATGATAGAGTTCTGAAAAGAATGGTTGCAAATGTATTACCGATCATATCTAACCGTATGTGGGGAAGAAAAATAAGAAAATTCACAAAAACCGATTTATTTTGAAAACCTTGCACATGAAGGAGCTGGGTTAGGTTTTTTTTCAGTCAAGCCTTGATAAGAAATGTATAAGTGTTGTCTTTATATTTACATGCACAGTTAGAAGCCATAAACTACCCAACGAAAGTTGGAAGGCGTAGATAAAAATCACGCAATTTAAAAATGGTTGAAGTCATTGCTGCTGCGGCTTGAATCAGAATGAAGCTGATCTCACTTACCTTCACAATATAAACCCATCTCATGACACATTACAACAATGCTAACTTATTTCATGGAAATGGTCCCAATGCATTGTCTATTTGTTCCCATTACGCATGAGGGAGAGTATAGAAACTGTTGCAAACAGGATGTTGGGACCTCCCGTGTGAGGGCCTTTGACCAACACTGACCATGATTTGTGGTAGCCTATAAGTGTTGTTTGTACATTAAATGTATACAGTATCCTGTAGTTCAATAAAACGATACGATTGTATGTATGCCTTTTCTCAAGAATATCAGCAACCTAATGGACACAACTTCAAAAGTATTGGATCAGATTTAATGAAGTACGTTTAGACCCGTACCTATATTTGCCAAAGCCGGTGTAATGTGAAATTTGTTGGTAGTGTTGCACATCATTTTCAATGGACAGAAGAACAGTGAGAAGTCACGTTTGAGGCTATAAGAGTTCCAAATAAGGTAAACCGGAGGTTTGAAATGAATACAAGTTTCATATGATGCCGGTTTTGAGTACCATTTTAATACGGTTTAAGTATTCACAGATACTCGATCCTCTCTTAAAACTAATCTTCATACATGTACATGTACTAACAAATCTGCCTGGTTTTTCGAGCCGTAAAGCTGTTATAAGGAATGCCCAACGATAGAGTATATTAGAGGCCGGATTGTCTCAGAAACAATATACTTAGCAAACACTGACTTTCTTTTTGCCTTCAGTTTTTTTTTATGCCGTTTATTGAAATTGGACTTTTGGGAATCAAAGTCCCGGTTTCACTGGCATGTTTAGGTTTTAACAAACCATAAGACAGCTCAGGCAGGCTTAATCTCCATCCTCCAAGAAAAGGTTAAACATTTTCATTCATGTGGATTGATAAACATTTTTAAATGATACGAAGATGCGCAATAAAGTCCTAGACAGTTCAGCAAGCATAAGCACCTTTCTCGTTCTGTTGTTTCTTTCTTGAAAATCGTCGAGATTTAAGACTTTGGACCTATAGGAAATGATAGAGAGACAAAATAAAGGGCAGTGCTAGAGGGCGCTATCCATTTTATACCATATTGACCCCGATGAACAGTTGGGAAAGAACAAAACAAAAAAATCCCCTTGCGGGGGGGGGGGGGATTCGGGGCGCTATTTTTTACCATACCACAAGATGTTAGTATATATAGAATAATGCTGGAGGGCCCTATATAATGCAATAGTATAATGTTTAAAATGACCACATCGATCGAGTCACTGCTGTAGTTTGGGGGATTTTTTTTTCAAGGGACAATATAGCCTTTAGTCAAGTCCCACGCGCTTATACCCGGACCCGGACCATTTTTCGTGATAAAAACGCTTAGGCATATTTCCTTTATATCATATTAAATGTATTCTGTCACGGTTTAATTTACGTCAATTTTCAACTGGTTGTTTCAAATTTAGTGGTTAATAATCGGACGCAATTTCAATCCGATGCAATATGTTGTTCTTGAGTTATCGTCTCCACAAAGAGTGTCAAAAGAGACCAACAATCGGAATGCATTTTTCGGGATAAAAACGCTTAGGCCTATTCCTTTGAGTCATATTAAATGTATTCTTTCACGGTTTACGTCAATTTTGAAACTGGTTGTTTCAAATTTTATGGTTAATAATCGGACGCAATTTCAATCCGATGCAATATGTTGTTCTTGAGTTATCGTCTCCACAAAGAGTGTCAAAAGAGACCAACAATCGGAATGCATTTTTCGGGATAAAAACGCTTAGGCCTATTCCTTTGAGTCATATTAAATGTATTCTTTCACGGTTTACGTCAATTTTGAAACTGGTTGTTTCAAATTTTATGGTCAATAATCGGACGCAATTTCAATCCGATGCAATATGTTGTTCTTGAGTTATCGTCTCCACAAAGAGTGTCAAAAGAGACCAACAATCGGAATGCATTTTTCGGGATAAAAACGCTTAGGCCTATTCCTTTGAGTCATATTAAATGTATTCTTTCACGGTTTACGTCAATTTTGAAACTGGTTGTTTCAAATTTTATGGTCAATAATCGGACGCAATTTCAATCCGATGCAATATGTTGTTCTTGAGTTATCGTCTCCACAAAGAGTGTTGTATTTTTGCTTAATGGGCAGATTGTTATCTGCATTGACAAGTCCAGTACTGACCGGTGTTTGTGTAGGGCGCCCTCTTCAGGAAGAACTAGAGAGTAGCAAAAAGAACGGAGCGTCCTGGCACACTGTTGGCCGTTGGTTATTGTCGTGTATACTTTTTTCTTCCACGGTTCCAGTCGATTTTCTTACATCTTGTGTCAAATATCGTGGCCAATTATTGGACGCAATTTCAAATCAAATGCAATATGTTGTTCTTGAGTTATCATCCTCACAAAGAGTGTCACTAAACTTCGGAATGCATTTTTCGTGATTAAAACGCTCAGTCCTATTTTCTTTAAATCATATTTAATGTATTCTTCCATGGTTTACGTCAATTTTCAAACTGGCTTTGTCAAATTTTATGGTCAATAATAGGCGCAATTTCAATCCGATGTAATATGTTGTTCTTGAGTTATCGTCTCCACAAAAAGTGTTGTACTTTTGCTTGATTGGCAGATTGTGATCCGCATTGACAGGTCTTAAAAACGGTACTGACCAGTGTTTGAGTAGGTTTGCCTATTGCGCGAAAATTAGTGGAGGTTGAATTCTTTACATTAGAACACGGTCGGCAAAGCGACAGTCCGGTAAAGAGTTAAGGCCCCTACTGAGTGTTTCATTTTGCTTCATAAGTATTGCACGTGTCGGTTTTCACCTCCAATGTTGCCGTGATTTAGGGAGCAAAACGAACACGGCGATAGCTGAAAGGTGTTTCTCGGTTACCTTGAAGTATCTAACATCGTCAAAGTGCTAATGGGCATCAATTTTGGAAATATTTTATCGCAGAAAAAAGAAAGGAAAGTTAAAACAAAAATACTCACAAGGTGTAAATGTCCGGCATCCATCTTGAAATGCAAGCAGCAGATGAGCGGGCGAAAGTCAGACGACAGGTTCGAGGCGTAATGCGGTTCAAAAACCCCATCACTTTTTTATCTCTCCGCACATCACAAAATGCCCTTTTTTATTTATGTTTTTCTTCTGTCTAGAGGGGTATGACTTGTTTTTATTAATCACAACTAAACGACATCATGGATCATGCTGCTGAATAGGAAACTATCAAACCATGTTTATCAGAAAATGGGGTTCTATTTTTCTTAATCCGCGGACTAACACGCACTTTAGTCTCAATGTTCTCTGAAAAAGTGTATGCGCGGTTCTGATTGGTCGAAAGTAAACAGGAATTTCTGGGGTTGGCTGGGATTGGCCAAGAAACACAATTTGCATATGGTATGTCGCATGCCTATGGAATTTGGATGACAATACTATTTGCATAATTCTTGGGGGGGGGGGGGACCCGAGTCAGAGGTCATAGCTTTGTATTGTATGTCATACCGATAACACGATGACAGTTTCATGACTGTGCTGTGATTGCATGCAATCGATCGTGCTGGTAAATTTTAATTCGGAAAGGACAAGCCGACATCTCAACAGCCAACAGTAGTGGGTCCCATGAGGGAGAGGGGAGGGTTCTATCTCATTGGAGGCACACAAAAGGTTTGGTCATTGTTCTTATTTGCAGATGTTTTCTTTACCCATACCATGGAGGTAATTAGATACCCGGCCATATCAGAATATCAAAGCCAAACGTTTTGCGACTTTCATGCTTTCGTTAAGACCATATGAATTTATTATCGGAGCTCTGTAGAGATGCTTTATTGATTGTAGATACTTGCCACGCATTTTACTTGCTTGGAAAAATTCGGCTTTATAATTATTTCAATATCAATTCGATGATATTTTACGATATCATTTGTAGAAAAAAATGGCACGGAAAACGAAAGTGGGAAAATCAGATTTATCTTCACAACCTTACCCCTCCCCCCCCCCCCGCCCCCGCCCCCGGCGAACGTATTTTCTGATTTGGTTTCCCATGTTTCCCACAGTACAGTAGTAGAGCCTGCGCTGCGCTGCGCGTGCGCCACCTGTTGTTCAGTATTTGATACATCCCTCGATCGCACCATTGATAGCGCATGCGGCACGTCGATCGTCGTGGTGGCAAGACTAACATTGTTTTCCCATGGAGCTACTGTATCAATTGTTTGGCTGTGGTTTACACACTGACTCATAGTTTTGGGCACAATAAGCATTTACAGGATAACTAGTTTAGTACTAGAAACCTTCGAAAGAATGTCAATTGCATCCTGAATTCATAACGTGCATCCTCGAGCTCGACCCTCCATAATCGATGCAGCTACTAACGCCGCCACATGGCATGGCCAACGCAAATCAAATGCAGGTGCGTAAGAAGATATGATCGCGTCGTTTTAGAGGGTCTGACGATGTCATCAGATAAGGTCAGTTAAAGGTTGAAAAAAAAACATGAATCTGGACGGAGAAACTGAACTCTCCATAGACTGAATGTGTGTAGTTAATTATGCAAATAAATTGCAATTTATCTCGTGATGACAATTGAAAAATCTGGAAAAAATGTTGCAACCTGAAGCAGAAGCCACTTCCAATTCCACGCTTGTGTACAATGTCTATGGAGACTAAGAACACTTTTAAAGTATTTCCTAACAAAATTGGAAATATTTCTCAGTCCCAGATTCATGTCTTTAACACTTATCATCATTTTTTTGTAACGAATGACCTTCACTGAATTGATATACATGTATAGAGAAAGAAGTAGCGTCAGGTTGCAACATTCTTTTTTCAAAAATCTGTGTGCACCATGTATGTGGGTACCATACCGCTTCCAGGTACAGCCGGTTAAATTTTCGTCTGGTGCATTGTCGTGGAAAGCAAGACGACTGTTTCATGCCTTACGCATTCACGCAGAAGGCACTCACAGTCTAACGCATGAAACAGTCAATTAGAACGCGTGTTGCGTAACATTCCCCAATATGGAGCGCGTGACCAGGCCTTTGTTGCTGTGTCTATAGCTGAGTTTATTTTATCCATGTCTAGACACGACAACAGGCGAATGACCGAAGACCCGATATATAGAAAGCACCCACTGATTGGTAAAAATCTAGAGGTCAACATGCGGTTGTCTTGCATAACTAATCAGGGCCGTATCATAAGTCCGACGCCTCATAGGTCCGACGCCTCATAAGTCCGAAATTTCGGACTAATGAGGCGTCGGACTTATGAGGCATAACATTTATTTATTCCGCCTCATAGGTCCGACGCATCGTAAGTACGACGCCTCATAAGCAAGGGTCGGATCCAGAACACAATTTTGGGGGGGGCCAAAAAAAAATTTTGGTCCCCCAAAAAAGTGGGTAAAAAAATTACGGCGTGGGGTTCGGGGCCCGCTTAATGGCCCCGACATTTTTTTGAATTCTAGATGCTCTGTGGTGCGATCTGAGGCAATTTCTGACCACTTTAACCAATGTTTTTTTGAGGAAAAGATGGTGGTGTACTCATTACCTGCCTTTATTGCGATGTCACATAAAAAAAAAAAATTGGTTTGGTTTTTTTGGGGGGGGGGGCCATGGCCCCCTTTGGCCCCCCCTGGATCCGCCCTTGCTCATAAGTCCGACAACGGAAAAACGAGGCGTTTAATTTGTCGGACCTACGAGGCGTCCGAGCTATGAGGCGTCCGAGCTATGAGGCGTCGGACTTATGAGGCGTCGGACCTATGAGGCGTCGGACTTACGGGTCTTTATTTGGTTAGGGGATACGATTTTGTCGGACTTATGAGGCGTCGGACCTATGAGGCGTCGGACTTATGAGCGGACCCCAACTAATCAGCGAATCTGTTCAAAAATTATAGAGCATGGCTTATATTGCCATGGTCTATTATATAGACTAGCACATACATGTACATTGTGTATTTGGCGCAGTAGAAACACCCCTATATCTGAGTGGAGCAACCCGCTATATCACATGCTTTGCCTCTTTTTTTTTTAATTTTGTGCGCGGACGTCCTTTTCAGCCTTGTTTTTATTTGTGTTTTTTCTTCATAGGTAATCCAAATCATTTATTTCATTGAAAAATACTCAAACGACTTCATGCTGTGTTAGAACACTCAAAGAAATATTTAGACTCTGATTTTTTTAACCAACAGACTTTGACTGATGTTATTTGACCCCTGAAAATTGGGAATCAGCCAAAGCAGTCCTGTATGGCGGTCGTGTGGAAAGGATGCAACCGTGTGGGATGGCCGTCACTACAAGCAGTCACTTCTTGGTAAGCCCAACGTGATCATTTAGCAAGTTGCCCCATTCATGGGGAGGGGGAGGGGTGGATTTTTTTGAGGGAGGGGAAATGGAGCAACTAGAAACTCTTCAGCCCTTTTCACACTAGAGCCTCTCAACCTGGGTTGAAATCAACCCTGGGCAAACCCAGTGCCGCCCTGGGTTGAGTTTTTTTATTTCAACCCCATGTTCAACCCCGCATTGTTTCACACTTGTTGCATGCAAATCAAGCTTATCAAAATCAGTTACTACTATTTGAACCCTGGCCAGAATTTCAACCCGGGTTGAAAATCTCAACCCTGGTCAGGAGCAGGGTTGAGTTCAACCCGGGGCAAAATCAATATGGGGATTGACGCATGGTTGAAATTCTTTAAGTGTGAAACGATGCATGTTTTCAACCCTACGTCAACCTTGAGATTTGTCTCGTGTGAAAAGGGCTTCACTTTAATAGAGAGAAACCATAGTCGCAAGCCTACTTCTGGACCCCTTTCCCGCAAGACGAATGAAAATCCACTTTGTTCACCAAGCTAGCTGGCATGTTTAGAATAAACAATAACTACAAATGTGTTTTGAACTCATTACAAGTGTCCCCAAATAGGGTAAAGTCACAGAGTTTCTTGGGTGTCCTTTAAGAAATATGCCTTCAGAAACCACGTATGTGGATACAGTGGGGACCAGCCATGTTTGTCCTTGTTTACCATTCCTATCAAGATGGTTAAAAGAGAAAACATGTCACAGTGAAGCCATTTTTGGTGAGGGAAGTGGCCCAAAACATTATTTTATCTGTTTTCCACAAATTTAGCACCAGAAATTACAGTTGTTTAAGCTGGAAGACACATACCAGCTGTACAAATAAGAGTTTCGGATGTCCTAAGGTTTAGTTCAACAAAATAATATTTGAAAGATATCATACAATTGTGCTAATAAATAGCCTTATCCCAAGGACTAAAATGAATGAATGACTGCATTTATTTGTGCTCATTTCAAAACCTCAGAATTTACAGGTAAATTTGAATAAAATTAATAACTTTAGAGTTTGAAAAGTTTCATGAAAATTAATAATTCTTTGTTGAAACTAAAAATTGCAGTGACAGGGATGATTTTTTTCATTAATTTCAAGTTGAAATGGCAACCAAATAGGTAAAGCAATGAAAACAGAGGTCTGGAATTTAATTCTTGAAAAGGCAAGGAAATTTCAAGGAGGCAGTCAGGCCAAAATCAAGGCAACAGAGGCCATAGCTTCCTGACATTCAATACCATTGATTTGAAGACTTGTTAAAATGAATGGCAACCTTTCAAAGAATTTTTAACCTTCAACAAAAAATAATATAAATTTTCATGAAGGTAATCTCTGCGAATAAACAGGTAAGCAAATTAATAGGATAATTATATTTGCTAATCTTTAGCAGACATTTTGATGATTAAATGATCATCAACATCAGTGTTTCATTGATATAAGTGCAAATTATTTGATATGTACAAAGCTTAATAACAATAAACATAATTTCTATGAAAAACTACAAAACAAAAAACTACCAAAAGCTTCCTTTTTTTAGAAACTGAGTAAATATTAAAAGACTAATTTTTAAAGTAAACTCGATTAACTTTCATAGTGATGTGTATGCTCAGAGGTACGTTGTGCATAGGATCATTTGCTTTTTGCAGTTTTTTTCCCCAAAGCAACAAAAGTGCTCAATATTTCAAGCACAGTGCATAACAAGCATTCTGTTCAAGTCTTAGCTGAGTGGCTACTATACATTTTGGAGAAAACAGAGAAAACATAATGCACAAGTCTTTGGATCTCAAAACTGGATTCTGTAGGCACCCCATTTTGAAACCACCTTCAATGTTTGTTTTCTGACAATACTATTTCAGGTGGAATTATTTCACAGGGTATTTGTTACCAGTCCTATCTTCACTTTGAGGTTTCTGTCATTAAATCGGTAGGTACATGTACTTATCTGGGTAATTGCAAATGATGCTACGTGGCTTTAAAAAGTGAAGTTAACAGAAAAACAGAATAATTAGAATTGTACAGGCTATAATTTCTATTATCAGAAAATGTAATGTAGAGATAGCACAGTATACAATGAGTAGATGTATGTTCTATTAGGAACAATTTTAAGAATATACATAAGGCCCCTGAAAAAAGAATAGTTCTGCTTCTGGTTACCCGACCGACCCTATTTTTAGGCTGCGACCCTAAAAATGTTATTGTGCAATTCCAAAAAAAAAAAAATGATTTATAAAAATAAAATCTTGTTGTCTTTTCTGTCTTCACAGAGTAACTCTCAACAACCCTTTAGCATCAAAAAATGCTTGTATTTATTTGTTTTCTTACTTACATTCGGTTTTTTTTCAAAAGAAACCTCTGTTATTTTTACAAATCGATATAACTACTTCCCAATTCGATGTCACGGTGACTATAATCACATGGCATAACTGGTTCCCGCCGCGCCGCGCAGGGGCCAATTTAGAAGACTTGATGAAAATGCGGTAAGCAGTCCATAGCTCTGCAAACTAGCGCTAGCTGTGCAGGCCGACGCACTGTCAACTGGATGGATTCGACATCGTAAAAATGCCAAGAAAACACCGTGGAGAAAGAAATTTTTTGCAAATTAATTCACACAATTGATCTAGCTTGTCTGTGTATGTATTTTTCGTGTTCAAAAGTTCATTTTGAGATCGCACTACTCCTATTTTGAGTGATACCGGTACATGCTGCGTGTTTCCCTAAATTTTTGACTGTGCAAACGTGGTCTGTTGGCCGCTCGCCACACATGCACAGTGCATCACACACCTCGGAGTTTTGGCCAGCTCCTCATCTTGACTAGCGTTGTGCATGTGGTGCGAACGACCTTAATGTTCCATTATTTTTTTAGAATTATCGAACGTTAATATATTGACAATAATTTAAGGTAGGTTTTATTCACTTTTTGTTGTCATTTCGTGTCTAGCTTTCGTAGTGCAATGGAAATAGTTCAAGCTAAAACTTCGCATATAATTGAATACCCCATTCAATCTGCATAAAAAAAACTCTGACCAACTGACCCTTTTTTTGAAAGGCATGTAATCGGAAGCAGAACTATTTTTTTTTTGGCCTAAAGGGAGTTTACAAAGTCTTGTTGTGACTACTAAGATCTACATATGCTTAAAAGTCTTCTTGAACAGTTAATTTTTACAATATCACTGATACTTTGCAAGCAAATGTAATTTTTTTTGCTGAAATCCAAACAAGAAGTGATGATTGTTTTTTCATTTCCAAGTTTTTTGAAATGGCAATCAAAAAGTGCAAAACAACGAAAACAGAGGTGTGCAATTAAATTCTTGAAAAGATGAGGAAATCTGTTTGGTTTAGAAGGAAAAACCTTGGATTAGAAATTTGCTATTTGTGTGGGACCTTTTCAAGCTGGCAATCCGGCCGAAAATCAAAGCAACTTCGGCTGTTAAGCTTTCTGAAATTCAGCTTCAATCGAATTGATTTCTAATCATTCAAACTGAAGGGATATTTGACAATCTGAGAAAAAATGTAAACAAAATTTCAAATCAAGATAAAAATGTTCCTTATTTACATCAGTCTCAATTCTGTGAAATTAAGACAGAAAACCAAATTAATTTTCACTCATCTTTAGCAAACAATTCAATGGGAAAATTATCTTCAATATATAGGTAAGCGTATGGTAAATTCAAATGCGTAAATAGAAACTGCAAAAAGTAATATAAAAATTGAGTAAATAAAGGCTTATTGAACAGTAATCTGAGTATTAACTATCATGGTGAGCATACATGTTCATGCTTAAAATGAATTTAAACAACATGTATTTCACAAAATACTTGTAGTATGGTTGCATCTCAAGGATGAAGTGCTTGTAAAACTGTCACAAAAGTTCTATAAACAAAAGTACAATACACAATGGATTACATGTAAATATTCCATTAGGAACAAATTTCAGAATCTCAGGGAGTTTACAAAATTTTGGCTTTGTCTGCAGCTTTGGCTTCTACTATTAAAAGCCTCTGATAAGGTCAAGAACGCTGTCAACACAATTCTCCATCTGTGAATGAAGATCTGAAACCACATTAATAGAATGAGCTTTTGTCACTCATCTTTAGGATGCATTTGGACAACTCACTTTACTTGGAAGAGTATTTTTTTATTAATTAAATAGGCAGATGCCAACAGCAAAAAAAGTAACAAAAAACCAACTGAGTGAATAAAGGCTTATCTTGAACACTAATATCTGCGTATTTGAACTGAGTAATGCATTATCTTGAACATTAATCCTAACACTAAATTGAACTGAGTAATGCATTTGTAAAGTTAGAGTTATTCAAAACAAATGTTAAGAATGTTTGAATCTCAAGAACGAAATGATCCTAAACATTTCTCAAATCTTTGTTATAAAAGATAGCAGAATATTTACAGCACCTTCCATCAGGAACAATTTAAGAATCTTAATTGTGTTTATGAAATCTTGGTTTTGTCCCTGGCTTTGACTTCGGGTTTCATGATTTTTGTCCCCTGATGTAACTCCAGTACAATATTGGTCCATTTTCTTCTTTAGAGACACCAAATCCTGTCACACAAGGCCAATGGATGGTTGGTGCATTTTCACTGGGTTTGAATGTGGTAGGATTCTTAGGAATTTAGTGCCAGAGATGAAGCAGAAGCCGCAACGAAGCCAGGGTTTCATAAACACCACAGAAAGTTGGTAAGTATTGGGTAGATTTATGGCAATCCATGTACTGGGTGAGGGAGGGGTGTTGGGTCGAGGAGGCGGGGACATTACATTCAAACTCCTCAACACCCACTAAACTCCCCTCTCCTTTCAAATTTACCATTTAATTCAGATTCCAGTCATCATACATGTAAGATTAAAACAAATTATCCCAATCAAATCAAATGTAACTAGTCAATACACTGTTTATATAAGACTTTGTTTAGTAACAAAATGTAATTGATGCACTGTTTATTTAACAATTTGTATAGTACATGTAAAATGGTTCACATCAGAGGGATCTGGCAGTTTGGCTTTTTGAGGAGAGATGTGATATGAGTGGGACATGAATGTTGATTGGTGCTGTAATGACTGGACAATTTCATCCTCAACATTTGCTGTTGAGATGATGATGATGATTGCTAGTCAATGTCATGTTGGATGACATCACACCTTGTGATACATCTTGATTGAGTGTCCGTTAGCCACTGCCAGCTGGCCCTGTGATGTGAATGTCATTCCACATGGGTTATACAGATCCTGAGCCAGGCATTCAAGAAACCTGCCATCTAGGTCATAGTGGTGAATATGACCAGTGTCAGACACACCTTGGTCCACTGCAAGGTAGATGCCTGAGCTGTCAGAACATACACCACGGCAGTACCCCACTGGCTTACCATTAATGGTTGGATTGATAGTGCCATTTGTTGTACCTTTGCTATCTGCTATTTTCACTTTCTTTGTGTCACCTCCACTGACCACAACTCTATCAGTGTCGTCATCAACAGCCAGGTAGTGAGGTGGAGTCTGCACTGGTATGGTGTGTAGGATCTCACCATCAGTGGCTTTGTGTTCAGTCCACACCATATTGATGGCGTCGCCTACTAAGATGCTATTCTTTGTTACTGCTAGACCCCTTAGTTTCATTTCTGTCTTGTCTACCTGATGCTTGAGCATCGTTGGGAACTGCTTAACAAGAGTGTTGTCTTTCATGTTGAACACCTTGACATACTTGCTTCCATATTCCAACACAAGCAAGCGTTGCTCAGGATTGTGGATGGCTGCAACTGCCACTGGACCTGTGTGTAAAGAAGAACTCAAATGTAACATATGCACAGTATATAAATGCACTGTCACTATTCTGAGTCCCCATGAAATGTAAATACATATTATGATAACCGACCTATAATAATGAATACATGGCGTGCCTTAAAGCCCGGTCATGTAGAATGAATAGGCCTACATGAACATTGTGCAGTCTTCAACCACCATACATGTATAATTTTGAATAAGTGCAACGTCTTGAAGATACAGTTTTGCAAAGTCTTTTATAAAGTTGATGCACTTTATGTGCTATTCTCATTGTTCAAACATCAAAATAGATAAGTGATATATTTACCCTCGTTGGTATTTTTATTAGCAATAATAAGGTTGTTCAATTTTCAAATGAAGCATGAATTGAACAACATAAACCCCATTTTTAGTCATCAAATAATTGTATAATAACAAACTGTATAATAACAATTTAGTTCTTGCAAACTTTAAGACACCTTTCACAAAATGTTCCAAGATTGTTGCTTACATCATAAACTAACAACTGGAAAAAAAAAGAAACTTGAATCATATTTTTTTTTTGTAATTTAACTTTCAAAGGTCATTTCATAACGCATTTTTTCTGTGCTTCATGGTATGATTTTGGTTTTATTTTATGAAATGGAGGCTATTTTGGATGTACAATTTGGCTTTGTATTTGCTATAGTTTTGGAGTACAAGTATCGGTTCGGAGGTCATGCTAATTAGTCAAAAGTTTGTTGACCTGTATCTCAGAATCTGACAAGCCAAACTACAAAAAAAATCAGTTTTGAGGGTTTCTCATACAGGCCAATCATCACACCAAATCGTTTCAACCTGTGAGGGTCGGGCCCAAAATCGTGTTGAATTGACACAGAATGACACATTTTTGAGAGTCAAAATTTTGACCCCCAAAATTTGTTCTGGCAAGAATAACAAAAACGGCCAATTTGTCAAGGATGGTTTTGTAGACGTTTATATCCTATTTTTAAATGCTCTTTGTAGCCCAATTGGGTGCTTTCCAGGAGTTAGTGTTCCTCTAGATCACTTTTAATTTGATATGGTGGTGTAATTGTATGATGTCACCATTTTTGTCAGGTTTTTGTACAACAGTGCATGTTTATACAAAGTTTTTTCTTCAAACCTTGACTTGTTATGGAGTAAATCCATTTTTTAAAACTCTTCCTGCTTCCTGCAGTATTTTGAATTCAAATTTGACCGTTAACCCTGGAAGGTCAAGTGACTTCACGTACACGACAAGAAATGTTCATCAACATCAGCGCATGGTCTATCAGATCACCAAGTGTGAACATGAAATTCATGCAGCATTATTACCCAGAAAAAAGCAAAACCGCAACACAAACAATAAAGAAGAACAAAGACCAAACCAAAGGGTGATCTTGATGGGGGCTCAGCCCCATCACCCACTAATACAATGGAGAGGGATCACGCCTTGAACATTCTACTCACAGGGCAGATTGGTTTGTTTGCAAAGCAACCTAAAAGCAACCCGTCTCTGTTCTGAAGGTTACACCCCCCCATTCCCCCCAAAATATAAACAAATAAAAAGGGTTTCTTCCAAACAACTCAAATCAGTAATGAAATAAATAGAAGTTTTGTTGAAAATTTGTTGAACTTTTGTTGAAGTTTTGTTTGATTTATTTTTCTGTGTGTGTCCTGTGTGGGATTTTTTTCTTAAACTCGTGTGTAAGCATGCATGTATAAAAAAACAATTCAACATTTGTCACCAGAACAAAACCTAATTTGTTGGAAAGCAGTGCCAGCACATCAATTCCTTGCCAGTATTTCATTGGTTTTCATTCTCAGTTGTCAGATCTGCATGTGCACATGGAAGACTGACAATCATGAAAGTATGTGTTGATGAACATGTGCATGTGTGTGTCCTGTGTGGGATTTTTTTCTTAAACTCGTGTGTAAGCATGCATGTATAAAAAAAACAATTCAACATTTGTCACCAGAACAAAACCTAATTTGTTCGAAAGCAGTGCCAGCACATCAATTCCTTGCCAGTATTTCATTGGTTTTCATTCTCAGTTGTCAGATCTGCATGTGCACATGGAAGACTGACAATCATGAAAGTTTGTGTTGATGAACATGTGCATGAAAGAAACTTACCTTGTAGGGGAATGGTTCCCTTTTGTTGTCCCTCATTGCTGCAGATGACCACTCGGTTGTTCCTATAGTCTGCCACAGCAATCTCACCAGGACGAGTAGCAGTAATACCTACAGCCCCATTGAACTCTCCTGGACCACTTCCTCTTTACCAATCTCACAACACATCTCCCACTTGACTGCTTCCACCTCAAGCTTGCCCAGATTGATGTCACCAGTCCTCTGACCCAGGGTGAAGCTCAGATATGAAAGCTTGGGTTCAATCTGGGGAGGATTTTGACTCTTGAGTGATTTCAAGTCTTTGCTGATGATAGGATAGAGGGAAAGCAAATCAGTGTCTGATGCAGTGTTTATGACATCCTGAGCTGTACTGAAGGAATGTTGTTTACTTTGTAGCATCATTGTCACTGTTTCCTGATGCTTATCGTATGTTTTGTTGCGATCCTGCTGGAGTTGTTTGATTTCTTCAATCATCTTTGTCTCTTGAGTTGTTATCTCAGCTCTCATTTTATCCGCTTTGTCTTTCACATCTTTCACTGTCTTTGTGACATTCTGTGTAAACTTCTGCTTAGCTTGTGATGAAGTGGTCAAAGCTTGTTCAAGTCTTTTGATGCCTGTGGTGAAGTCTGGAAACGTATCTTTCAGTGACTGTTTGTATTTGCGAGAAGCCTCTCCAGAGTCAATGTAGTGATGCTCTGGTTTACAGTGGTCTACTACAGTACAATCTCGGCAGATTAACTCTTCACATGTCTCACAGTAAAAGTGTTTCACTTCCCCCTTGTGTTTGTGGCATTTAGACTCATCTTCTTCTAGTGTTTTTTTCACTGTTACCTTCCCCTGACGAATGTCCTTCAAAGTAGCCACTGTGTGGTTTGATGTAGCAGCAAATCGCAAGTGTGTCTTGCGACAGTTTGGGCAGATATTCTGCGCACAGTCCAGACAACGATGCATTGCCTCATTTCCCTCATCACAAATCTCACATATGACCTTTGTGTTTTCTAAACAGGCCACCTTTTCTTGGAGTGAGACCTCCTCAACTATTCCCATCAAATGGAAATTTGTTTTCAGGCCTTGAATGCCTGTCTCTGGAAGTACCGTCTCCCGTCTACATACAGGGCAAAGAATCTTAGGCTGACCTGCATACCTGCTAGTGTAGTATTTCTCCAGACATGTCTCGCAAAAACTGTGTTGGCAGTCCAGCACCTTGGGCCGTTTGTATGTCTCCTGACAGATGTCACAGGCAAGATGGTTACTTATTTTCTCAAGAGCTGTAGCCATTTTTATCTGTATTTAAATAGTATTTAAAAAGAAAATGGAAGGGTTGCTATAAGAGCAATGAAAAAAACTTGAGCAAAACACGTGCCTTCTATGTACATTAAAGATGTACATGTCCATCTGAGTTACATGTATAACGTTTCTTGTGAATTGCTGTTTTGAAGCCAGACAAAAGATATCCACTTTTGAACGAGACATCAAATAAAAAATCTCTCTTTTATTTCCTTTTGGAATTCCTGTTCAAGTTTTGAAGAGCACTGAGAGTACATCTTTTATTCTCTTCTGAAATGATTTCAGATGTTGAAAAGGACAAAAGTATCCAAGTCATAATCACCATAGTGTTTTTCCATTTTTATTACTGAATAAGTTTTGTTGGAACATTAGGCCTACTTGTGCGTACACTTCACATTCTAAAGTCTGAAAGCAAACTGTGATTCCTACACTTGTAAGCTAGCTTTTAACCTCATTCAAAGTAACTGACAATACATGTATGTTCTTACCTCTTTTAAATTCCCAGTCAAATCACTTAAAGACAAAGCTTTCCAATTTGATGTAGAGAGCACAAACAGTTAAAGCTTTTGATGGGGCGGATCTAGTAAAGATGGCACTGGGCAAACACAGCATCATCATCAAGTCGAGTGACATGGTTTATATATAGAACTTGGGATTTTTGTTTTGCTGCATACACGTACAAACGTGTACGTCACACACATACAGTCTGTATATCTGCTTATCTGTGTACATATTTACTTGACACTTGAGTTTTGGACCTTAGATAGGTTCATGCATTCTATCTACATGCATACCGTAGATGGGTTGAATGCACATGCATACATGCTGCACTTTGTTAAATTTCAATCGCATACACCTCACCATACATTTAATTCCTCTTGATTTATTTTCAACCATCAAATAAAATAAGCTGTAAAAATATTTTCATTAAATCTTTCATATTTCACACACGAAAAGTTTCTATTATCTTGTGCTATAAATACTGATAAAGAATTTTCAGTCTATTTGAAGTTATCATTTTGATCAACCCAAAAAGTTTAAACTTTGTGTAAAAATTGTCCATGCAAATAAAACATATATGTGCTACTAGGGGAAGTACATTTGGGTGTAATAGAGTACACTGAGGACAATAAACAACATAATTGACTGTACATAAAAGGACACTATGTCCTCAGTTGGAAACCATCACAAATCAAATGAGAGGAGTTGGGTCATTCTATAAATTTGGGGTCCAAAGTGTGACATTTTTCCTGTCCCTGTTACCTTGGTACTTTGTAATTTGCCATTCAAGCATCATTAAGAATGACTTCAAATGATTGTTTATTTGTTGGGTAGGTAGTTTGCTATTACTCTTGGAGGATGACTGCATTAAGGAGTGCATCAGAATTATACAATCATAGATGTCAGATGTAACAGGGACGGGAAAAAAAGTGGACCCCAAATTTATAGAATGACCCTGTTGCCAAAAGACACCCAAACAAAAGCCATCAGAAGGACAGTGGGAAGTCCTCAATCTACACAAACCTTTGTGGGAGTGTGAAAAGTGCAGAGTTTTAGAGGAGGGGAACCAACATAACGTTGAAACAGTGTATCTATTAATTCGTATATATTTAAGAATGCTGTAACCATGGTTACATAATCTGTCATCCTGTCTGGCTTGTTTCCAGGGTGTGAAGGGCATCACCTCAAACTCCTTTGACAACAAGATGAGACAACTCAAAGAACATGGTCAGGTTCTTGGCAGGATTCATCCTGGGTTCTATGACATCAGGAAGAGATTGAAGGAAGATCTTGAGAGAATGTTGGCTGAGAGACGATGAGGAGTCAAGAAGATGACGGCCGGTAAACGTCTCAAGTCAAGTAAGAATGAAAGTTGTCTGGAAATAATCCTACATGTACTTAATGTTTGGGATTTGTTTTTATACTTACAGAGCTTTACAAGAACATGACACATGATGTCACATACTAATGGTGTTTGTGTTCCTCCTTGAAACAGTTTCCAGGAACCTAAGCAATTATTTTGGGAATTATGACTTGTCATGTTTTTTTCTAAAGTAGAATTGAGACCTCATCGCTCTCAAACCTCATCTTTGTACTTTCTTGTTGACCCCTGGTTCAATTCTGAGATGTGATCTCAATCATCAGCGGGGGAATTTAGTTGCTTTTGTTTCAGATCCTGCTATAAATTAGCAACCTAGAGGGAGTGAATAACCACAAAAAAGACCTTAAATTCTTCAGGAACATTGCCATGGTAACAGCTCATGGGCGATTCTCCAGAAATTGAAACTAAATTAATTGTTTTGGGGAACACAAGTTTTTATGTGATGTAATACAAATGATTATTGTTCATCTAAAGTGTTGCAAGTAAGTCAAGATGCAAATTTCTTAAGATGTTTCATAAGTTTGTCTTTTTGTGCATAAATTAGCATAATTTTAATAATAAAATGTCACATACATGACCACAGAACGATTCCCATTTAGTATTATCAAAGCATATCGTAGGTGTACATTGTTTATGCATTCTGTAAATCACATAAGACTAGTCTTATACTCCCAAATAAGTATGGATGTGTGTCTTTAGAACTTTGGACAAAACCGTGAATTTCCGGTATGGGCCAGATAACATTTTTACGTCTGATGTCACACACTCTACCAATCTTTGATGACCCCTCCTCATATTCTGACACAATTTGTGAAAGTAGAAACTATAGTCTGAGGTAGAGAGTAAAAAGTACCAACCTGATGAATAAGTGAAAGTAATAAGTCAAATGTAGTTAACAATGAGAAATCAGACAAGCCCAATTTTATGACACATATAGTGACCAAAGAATGGCCCTCGTGCTTTTTTTTTACCATTTTGGGTCAATTTCAGAGCCACCAAAATACAATTTGTTTTCTGTGTAAAAACCTCCTAACACTTTTTCAATTCACACTTGCTCCCCCTCCCTATCAATCCCTTCAAACACACTTCATGCGCTATACCTACCTGCATCATCTCTTCCATCTTAACCCCCCCCCCAACCCACCACGCCCACCCTTAGGTAGATCCTTACCCACCACAACATCCCATCATCCCTTCATCTGATGCGGGGAAAGTGCAATACAGGTTTAAAATACACTTCTCTTTGGATTTCCTCTTTTTATACTTCCCATGTGTGCCATTAAAATAGAAAAACACTCCTCAAAGTCTTGGAAGGATTTAAAGTTCTCTGATTTGTGTGACTTCCCAATTTTTATTAGACAGCACTTTCACTTGGTGTATCTGCAAACTTTCTCCTATAGTTGTATATTCACAGCTACACAACGCCTCAAAAATGACAAAAGTCTACCAAATTATGTCTATCATTAATGGCATACATATATGTTTCTCATTAGTTTGGAGGTTTAATTCTTATAAATTCAGTTTCATTTTCGGCAGCTCGCCCATATTCCATGGAGCCTCGCTTTGCTCACCAACCACCACGCCCAGTCCGGTCACCGTGGCAACTGAACAGCCTCAGGCCCCGCCTCCTGCAGCCATTAGTCAGATCGTCGCTTACCAATTCCAATCAGCAATGAGCATAGTCGAGGGCAACGCAAGACACCTGTCAGCTTTGTTGTTGTACCTGTCAGTGATCTGGGTTACCCTGTTGGTTCACCAGGGAGTAGCATCTGGGCTTATACACCAGGTAGTAGCATCTGGGCTTATACACCAGGTAAGCTCAGTTTTCATTTACCACACACTTTCTTTAGATGCATGAAAACTGACTATATCTGGAGCATCAAGATAATAGGAGTGTGAAATAGTCTCATATTTTCTTGGCTCGTTACTTACAGATCCTAATTGAAGAACTTAGCTAAAAGATCCTTGTTGATAACAAAATGTTGTAAGATCAACTCAGAATGATACAATAACATTTAAGTTCAGGCCATAAAAATATAATTTAAAAATAGACGACTGTGATTTCTAAACCCAATGGACATAAAGGACATGTTGATTAGCAAAATATTAGTTGTCATATTTTCCTTATTAATGGCAGATTTTAATAAAGATTTTGTTTATTCTGAATTTTTCCCCAGGGAGCAGCGGTGACTGGATCCCAAGTAGCAACTTAGAGGACATACCAGGCACAGCAGCTAACAGGATGCCCAACTTCCCCCATCAAGACACTGTCAAGAGAGGATGGCTACCTAATGAACAAGTAAGCATCTCGCCCCTCCACCACCCACACTGAATCAGCATGAGTTCAGGACTTGAAAACAGTCTACACTCAATTATGAAGGAAGGGAGCGTCATCATCAATAGAGGGCGCTGTGGCATTTTTAAGTGTTGGGGATCTGATGAAAAGGTGAAACCATTGACCTTGTCATGCTGCTATGAAGACTTGCAGACTGGTCCAAGAAATCTGGAATTTATGTGGTGGCTGGAATCCACTCATGTCAACGACACCACGAAGTAACACTCTACCATGTTAAACCATATTTTTTTCGATTTTCATCAAGGCCATTACGTGAACAGCCCTTTAGAAAACCTAGATGGATTCACACATACTTTTCAACCCCAGTGGGGAGTCCTTGAGTAAACACACTTCACCCATGTCCAGCAAGATAATCCCCCTAATCACTTAAATAAACAACCTCCTGTGGACAACACAGCTGGCTGGGTGAGTGTTGGAACTACCATATGACCACATGGACATGTACATGTACATGTACATACACTGTATGTGCATCTGTATGTAATAATCGTTCTCTGTCATTACTTTATGGAATTTAACCGTTCAAAAAAGAAAACAAAATAACATTTCACACACGTAAATAATAAGATATTTATATGAATTGATATCAAGGTATTTAGTTGCAAAATTGTAAGCTGAATCCTTCAGGCAGGATCTCTTATCACACTCATTATAGGATTAGTGGTGATAACAATCTTAATCCCCTGGGGCACACATGCACTCTCCCTTTAGAAAAGCTCCAAAAGTATGCGTGAGGACCCGACCAGTTGGTAGGTTTGGTCGGGTCGGCTCCTAAAGAGCTGGATCCGTCATGCTACCATTGCACGAAGTTTCAAAGCTTCAAGAGCTTTACTTCAATAATTACGCCTAGTATCCATGGCAACTTTTGCGCAAAAGTGACAATTTTCGTTTTCAGGAAGTAATACTCAAATTCCATTTACCATTGCAATGCATGGCACACACTCTGCTCATAAGTGAGCAAAAACGTTTTCACGAAGTAACACTCTTCTTGTAATAAGTTGTATGAGCGCGCGCGCGCTGACCTGAAGTTGCACTTTCCACGTGTTATACACATTGAAGAGTGTTACTTCGTGAAAATGAAAATTTACAGTTTCACAGCTTTTTCGATTTCACGAACTAACACTCATCTTTTTTCTCTTATTTCTTGTATATTTAATACACAAACGGGTGAAAAACAGCAGATTTAATAAATTCAATTCATCAAGTGTCCACAACGAGAAACCAACTGAAAATACTCTGTCGTTTTGATGCAAAGTGTTGTTTTAGAAGGCGTTCAACTTTAGTTGCCGTTTTCTCTGATTGCTAGTTTTTACTGGTATGTAGATGGGTGTTACTTCATGGTGTTGCTGACAAATAATTGTCTGCCTATTTATGTGTCAAACAAAGGTAGTCCAAACATAATAAGTGAATTAATTTTGTCTTTGCTGAAATTTGTAGAAAATTTAAGTCACACATCAAGCTAATGCCACAGTGGTCCATTTTTGTTGTATGGTTCATCTGAGTTATGGGATTATGTTGGATTTAGGAGACTTTACTTTGTGGGTTTCCTTGGGATTGAGGGTTCCAAGTGGAATAACACTGTTTTGAAGTTTGCTGAAATTGCATCCAAATAGGTAAAACAATGAAAACAGAGGTCTGGAATTGAATTCTTGAAAAGGCAAGGAAATTTCAAGGAGGCAGTGAGGCAAAAAGCAAGGCAATGGAGGCCATAGCTTCCTGAAATTCAATATCATTGATTTGAACATTTGTTACAATGAGTGGCAACCTTTCACACTTGAAGAATTTTTAACCTTCGAAGAGAAATAATAAAAATTTCAATCAAGATAATCCCTTGTGAGTAAAGTTTACACAAGTCTTTATTCTGTGAATTCAGACAGGAAACCAAATTAATAGGATAAGTATTTGTGCTCATCTTTAGCAGACATTGTGATGATTAAATGATCATCCACATTAGTGTTTCATTGATATAAATGCAAATGTACAAAGCTTGTAAATAATGACAATAAACATGATTTCTATGAAAAACTACAAAAATGAAACAGAAATACAGAATAATTAAAATTGTACAGGCTGTAATTTCTATTATCAGAAAATGTAATGTAGAGATAGCACAGTATACAATGAGTAGATGTATGTTCTATTAGGAACAAATTGAAGAATATACATAAAAGGGAGTTTACAAAGTCTTGTTGTGACTATTAAAGATCTACATACAGTGGTGAATTGTTAAATGCTTTAAAAGTCTACTGGAACATTAAATTTTTACATTGAAATTGATACATTGCAGACAAATTCATATTTTTTTTTGCTGAAACCAAAACTAAAAACCAGTGATGATTTTTTTTTCATTTTCAAGTTTTCTGAAATGGCAACCAAAATGCAAAACAATGAAAACGGATCGTGTGCAATGAAAGTCTTGAAAAGACGAGGAAATCTGTTTGGTTTGTGAGGAAAATACTTGGAATAGAAATTTGCTATTTGTGTGGGACCTTTTCAAGGTGGCCGTCAGGCCAAAATCAAGGCAAGGCTGAGACCGTATAGCTTTCTGAAAATTCAGCTTCAGTCGAGCTGATTTTTGATCATTCAAACTGAAGGGATATTCAGTTAGGAAAAATGTTAACAAAATTTCAAATCAAGATAAAAACATTCATTATAAACATGGTCTTCATTCTGTGAATTAAGACAGGAAACCAAATTAATTTTCACTCATCTGTAGCAAACATTTCAATGAGTAAATTATCTTCAATATACATGTAAGCGTATTGTAAATTCAAAGGCGTAAAACAGGAACTGCAAAAAGTTACATAAAAACTGAGTAAATAAAGGCTTATTGAACAGTAATCTGAGTAATAACTATCATGGTGATGCGTATGCTAAAAATGAATTCAAACAATACTATTTCACAAAATACTTGTAGTATGGTTACATCTCAAGGATGAAGTGGTTGTAAAACTGTCTCAACATTTCTGTTATCAAAAGTACAATATATAATGGACTACATGTACTATGTAGATTTCATTAGGAAACATTTCAGAATCTCAGGGAGTTTACAAAATCTTGGCTTTGTCTCCAGCTTTGGCTTCTACTACATGTACATTGTACCTCTGATGAGGTCAAGATATAAACCTCATGAACACTGTCAACACAATTCTCCATTCTGTGAATGAAGATCTGAAACCACATTAATAGAAGGAGCTTTGTCACTCATCTTTAGGACGCATTTGGACAAGTCAATTTACTTGAAGAGTAGTGTCTTATTAATTAAATAGGCAGATGCCAACAGCAAGAAACAAAAAATTAACCTGAGTGAATTTTAAACACTAATCCTAACACTAAATTGAACTGAGTAATGCATTTGTAAAGTTGTGATTACTCAAAATAAACTTTAAGAATGTTGCATCTCAAGAACGAAATGATCCTAAACATTTCTCAAATCTTTGTTATGAAAGATAGCAGAATATATACAGCAAGTTCCACCAGGAACAATTTAACAGTCGTAATTGTGTTTATGAAATCTTGGCTTCGTCCCTGGCTTTGGCCTCAGGCTGCATGATTTTTGTCCCCTGATGTAACTCCAGTACAATATTGGTCCATTTTCTTCTTTAGAGACACCAAATCCTGTCACACAAGGCCAATGGATGATTGGTGCATCTTCACTGAGTTTGAATGTGGTAGGATTCTTAGGAATCTAGAGCCAGAGATGAAGCGGAGGCCACAACAAAGCCGGGGTTTCATAAACACCATAGAAAGTTGGTAAGTATTGGATAGATTGATGGCGATCCATGTACTGAGTGAGGGAGGGGTGTTGGGTTGAGGAGGCGGGGGTCATTACATTCGAACACCTCAACACCCACTAAACTCCCCTCTCCTTTCAAATTTACCATTTAATTTAGACAAAGATAACAGATTCCAGTCATCATATATATGTAAGATTAAAACAAATTGTCCCCCAATCAAATCAAATGTAACTGTAGTCAATACACTGTTTATATAAGACTTTGAATAGTAACAAAATGTAATTGATACACTGTTTATTTAAGAAGTTGTATGGTAAAATGGTTCACATCAGAGGGATCTGGCAGTTTGGCTTTTTGAGGAGAGATGTGATATGAGTGGGACATGAATGTGGATTGGTGCTGTAACGACTGGACAATTTTATCCTCAACATTTGCTGTTGGGATGATGATGATTGCTAGTCAATGTCATGTTGGTTGACATCACACCTTGTGATACATCTTGATTGAAAAGTAGTCAGCCACTGCCAGCTGGCCACCTGATGTGAATGTGATTCCACGTGGGCTATACAGACCCTGAGCCAGGCAATCAAGAAACCTGCCATCTAGGTCATAGTGGTGAATATGACCAGTGTCAGACTCACCTTGGTCCACTACAAGGTAGATGCCTGAGCTATCACAGCATACACCCTTGCAGTTCCCCACTGGCTCACCATTAATGGTTGGATTAATGGTCCAGATTGTTCTACCTTTGCTATCGCCAACAACCACTTTCTTTGTTTCACCTCCACTGACCACAACTCTATCAGTGTTGTCATCCACAGCCAGGTAGTGAGGTGGAGTCTGCACTGGTATGGTGTGTAGGAACTCACCATCAGTGGGTTTGTGTTCAGTCCACACCATATTGTAGGTGTCGCCTACTAAGATGCTATTCTTTGTTACTGCTAGACTCGATAGGTTCATATTTGTCTTGTCTACCTGATGTTTAGACACCGTTGGGAACTGCATAACAAGAGTGTTGTCTTTCATGTTGAACATCTTTACATACTTGCTTCCACGTTCTAACACAAGCAAGCGTTGCTCAGGATTGCGGATGGCTGCAACTGCCCATGGAACTGTGGGTAAAGAAGAACTCAAATGTAACATATGCACAGTATATAAATGCACTGTCACTATTCTCAGTCCTCATGAAATATAAATACCTATGATAACCTACCTATAATAATGAAAACATGGCCTGCCTTAAAGCCTGGGCATATGTTGAATTAATAGGCCTATACATGAACATTGTGCAGTCTTCAACCACCATACATAATTGTGAATAACTGCAATGTCTTGGAGATACAGTTTTGCAAAGTCTTTTATAAAGTTGATGCACTCGCTGTGCTATTCTCATCGTTCAAACATCATTCAAAATAGATTAGTCTCATATTTAATCGTGTTGCTATTTTTTTTAGCAATAATAGGGTTGTTCGATTTTCAAATGTAGCATTCATTGAACAACATAAACCCCATTTTTAGTCATCAAATAATTGTATAATAAAAAACTGTATAATGACAATTTAGTTCTTGCAAACTTTAAGACACCTTTCACAAAATGTACCAAGATTGGTGCTTACATCATAAACTAACAACTGGGGAAAAAAAAGAAACTTGAAGCATATTTTATTTTTTATTATTTAAGGTCAAAGGTCATTTCGTAACGCATTTTTTCTGTGCTTCATGGTATGATTTTGGTTTTATTTTATGAAACGGAGGCCATTCAAAGAGCTTTTGGATGTACATTTTGGCTTTGTATTTGCTATAGTTTTGGAGATACAAGTATTGAAAGTTCAGAGGTCATGCTAATTAGTCAAAAGTTTGTTGACCTGTATCTCAGAATCTAACAAGCCAAACTACAAAAAAAAAAAAAAAATCAGTTTTGGGGGTTTCTCATACAGGCCAATCATCACACCAAATATCGTTTCAATCTGTGAGGTTTGGGCCCAAAATCGTGTTGAATTGACACAGAATGACACATTTTTGAGAGTCAAAATTTTGACCCCCAAAATTTGTTCTTGCAAGAATAACACAAACGGCCAATTTGTCAAGGATGGTTTTGTAGACGTTTATATCCTATTTTTAAATGCTCTTTGTAGCCCAATTGGGTGCTTTCCAGGATGTAGTGTTCCTCTAGATCACTTTTAATTTGATATGGTGGTGTCATTGTATGATGTCACCATTTTTGTCACGTTGTTGTACAACAGTGCATGTTTGTATAAAGTTTTTTCCTCATACCTTGACCCGTTACGGAGTAAATCCATTTTTTTAAAACTCATGCTGCTTTTAGTATTTTGAATTCACCTAACTTTAATTTGACCGTCAACCCCAGAAGGTCAAGCAACTTCACGTGTACACAGGACAAAAAAAATGGTTCATCAACGAATGGTCCATCAGATCACAAAATGTGAACAAGATTTTTGCCTTTGTTCAGGAGTTATGAATTAAACAAAACGGTCACTTTTTGAAATACAATTTCTTGTAATTTGATACCTGCTGATGTCATCATGACACGTTACCAATGTGGTGTGAATTAAGTTTTGTTATATGTTAGCAATTTCCAAGGTTCGGCGATACGGTTCCTGAAACTCAATTAATATTGGTTATTATTCAAATAATTTTTAAACTCACAGTTTGCACGTAAAAAATATTTTATTTGCTTTTTTTTTTTTTTTGGCAAATTTGTTTCATTGAGACCTTGAATAGCTAAATATTATAACATTCTCTACATAAAAACATCCTAAAACATACCACTATTACGCAAAACATATCATTCATGGCCAAAAAGTGGCACAATTGCTTTACCAAGGTTTACCACGCCCACCTTGAGTCAACGTGTAAATTAAGTGAAACAATCCATTCGTCTTTAAAAAACGAAAAAAATAACCTTTTACACACACTACAGCCTGTCTAAAAAAAAAATGGTACAATCGAAAACAATTTTCTTTCAATATTAAATCTCAACATAAGTAAGTCGTTTTGAGCATCACATTAAAGAAACTAGATGTGGTTGTAACTGAACAACCACAGAGCTGTTCCCAACTTGTTTTTGATTGTCTATTGGATAATAGAAAATAATGTAATGATTTTTGCAAAAATCTCTAACTTTTAAAATTGAAATTATTATCTTACATAATTGCACTTCCGGTAAAAACCGGAAGTAAAGGTCACGAGACCTTGACATATACATTTTCATTTATAACCCTTCCCTGTCTATATATTTACCAAGTTTGAGATCAATCGGTCGAATACTTTTATAGTTAAAGGACTATAAAGATTGCCTCATTAAATATTCATGACGTCATAACATGAAAACATTAAGCTGCCCATTAATAATAATGCTACATATTTATCCTTTAATGTTGCTTAATACTAATATAAGGTGTCAACCCAATTAAATTTCTAATTCATTAGATATGATAATTAGGGTCTTAATTTAACACTTCCGGTAACACCGGAAGTAGAGGTCACATGACCCGGATATACCAATATTTATCTGTAACACTTCCCAGTCTGTATACCTGCCAGGTTTGAGATCAATCGGTCAAATGGTTCTATAGTTATAGGACTGTAAAGATTGCCTCATTAAATATTCATGACGTCATAACATGACAATAATTAAGTGCAGAGAATAAATAATAATGCAATATAATTATCTGTCAATATAGCTTTGTATCAATGTGAAGTTTCAACCCAATCAGATTAATAATTCATGAGATATGATATAGGGGTCTAAAATAACCACTTCCGGTAAAACCGGAAGTGAAGGTCACGTGACCTTGACATATCAATTTTCATTTATAACACTTCCCTGTCTGTATAACTACCAAATTTGAGATCAATTGGTCAAATAGTTCTATAGTTATAAGGCTGTAAAAATTGAATCTATAAATAGATGTCACGTGACCCCTGATGACGTCACGATGACGAAAAGTTTCGGCATACATCTTCAGATGATGGTTAATGACTATGCTGAGTTTAAAGTTGATCAGATTTAAAATAGTTCCCAAAGTGGCTTGTAGAATAAAAACGTGTGATATATATTTGAAAATGCATGTGTCCAACTTCCCCTAAAGCAGAACAAAAATCACTGAGACAAGTCTACTGATAGGCGAATGGGGGCGCCATTCACTTTATACGGTGTGCCGTTATATTTTTTTGGTGACGCGCAGCTGTCCTTATTTTGATCCCATAAAACTTAAGGCTCTGTGCCTTAAGTACAACCGTTAAAGTTATGTACTGCCCTCTTTTGGCGAGAATGAAGGGACGTAATGTACATTGAACGACGTTTCAAAGCCACGTGTACGTGCTATACACATTGTGGAAGTCCTGCGCATGTTTTAAAGCTCTCTACCGCAACTTGGGCAAGGGTATTTTTTGCCGACGTCGCGTCAACTGTGTGAACAATTTGACAAGCTGGGAACTTGGCACTGTTGAGGCAAATGTTTATGCTATCATTTAATGGGCGATTCAAGATTATATCTGTACGGATTGATTTTTCAGGAATTTTCTAAGGAAAAAAGGTCTTTTCATTATAACTTCCGGTCTGATGACGTCATACGCCTAAAACTTTGCACACGTCTTAAGTGGGTCAAGGTCATCATATACACCAATATTTAGGGGATTCCGACAAACTTCGCCACAGACATCTATTCAAAATACATTTTTGAAAATTTTCAACCTGTCGCTAGAGGGCGCTCGAAGATTGCATGACGTCATCGGTAGATGATTTGAAGAATACTATCAGTCAAGAGACTAACACCGTTAAAAGCAAGTTCATATCTATTACCACTTTTAAATAATAAGCCACTTCCGGTTTTGGCCTTTTTCGACCGGAAGCAAAGGTCACGTGATTTCACGCACACTAAATAAAATAAAGACCTTAACCTATTCTACCACTTGCCGGCAACAGAATGCTGCGGACGCGTATGGTTGATTTCTTATGCATTTTTAAATATTAAAATTGTCACAATTTAATTGCC